CGAAGGCGAGGAGCACGATCAACGAGCGAGGAACAATCACGATCCTGAGAACAGCAAACCAGAGTCGCCCTCAACCGCCCCTGCTGATCATGGCCGAGAACGCGACTGAACAACCTCGTCATCCACTGAACAACCTCGTCCTCCTCCCCTCCCGCAGCAGATCTTGGAGGGCCCGGGTCCTTCATGAGCATCACCGCCAGGCTCATGTTCTTCGAGAGGGCGCCCACCTGGCGGGCCGCCGACAGAGTCGGCGTCGGCATGCGGAGGGGCGAGGGGGAACGGGACAGCGAAGACGGCGACGCCTATGATAATGGAAAGAGGGATGTGAGGATGCCGTCATCCTCCTCTTCCTCCTCCTCCTCCGAGCGCCGCGGGTCCGTTTGCCGCGGGCGCTCAGTGGTCGGGGGCCGGCGCACCCCCTCACCGCTCCTCAGACGGGGCGGTTCCTCATCCTCCTCCTCCTCCTCCGCCGCCTCCTCCTCCTCCGTTCCCCTCCTCCTCCTCCCCCTCCTCCTCAACCCCCTGGAGGGGGGGGGGGGGGGGGAAGATCGGGAAGGGAAGAAAGAGGGGGAGGCGGGGGGGGCGGAGCAGGGGGCGAAGGAGGAGGGGAGGCGGCACAGGTGTATGAGAGCACAGGTCAGGGCCCATGGGCGCCGCGGGTCCCTGACGCCCTCGGTGGCGCTGGAGCCACAAGCAAGTGTAAGCCGTGGACGGGCAGGGCCACTGCACGGGGGTGCGCGCACGCGACGTGCCGCACGCGGCTCGCGCGAGAGACCCGAGGGACCGACGAGCGGCGGCGAACGCGCAGCGGCTGCCAAACTCCTGCGTCGCGTCGTCATCTCAGGACGAGGGGCAGGGTCGCCAGGAGTCTGGCAATTCCTAGGCGGGCCAGTGGGGCGAGTTGCCCCCCGAGGGGCCCCGTGTGCTTGGCGGGTCTGGGGAAGCAGAGCGTCGTTGCCAGGCGGCGCACACTGCAACGGGCACACCGTGAAGGACGCTGACAAGGTCACCCTGGCGCGGGTGAAGCAAACAGCGCAACAGGCTGAGACAAACCGTGCAGACGGACTGTGTTGAAATGAACGTGGAGATGAGGATGGAAATTAAGTGAAGCAGAATGAGAGCAGCAGCGCGGGAGGGCAGCAGCGCACGAGGGCAGCAGCGCATGAAGAAACATGTCAGAGCATCCAACGTCTCTGAAGATGGCACGAAAAACACGCATGGAGGGCTCTGAACAAAGCGAACGACGAAACCACGGCCTACAAGCTCCAGCGGACTGCTCCTGATACTCGCCCGTGCGGGCAGGTGCGCGGAGGCGCCAGCGATGGGCAGGGGACGGAAGAGAAAGCGGGAGCAAGGGGATGGTTAGAACTCCTTGCCCCCCACATACACGCACACACACACACACACACACACATACAAACACGCACACGCACACGCACACGCACACGCACACGCACACGCACACACACACACACACACACACCTCGGGAGGAAAGCAGCGGCCAAACCCTCCCAATGATCCCATCAGCCCTCTGGGCTGAGTTGGTCTAGCGAGTTTCCGCTTCCAACCCCCTTTCTTCCCCTTCAGGGAGGGGGGCATCACTGCACTCTATATTAGTAGACACCCTCACCCACACAAGAATGGCTCCTAAGCAGGGCCAGTGCTGACCACCACCACCCCCACCAGCCCCCACCAGCCCCCCCACACACACACACACACACACACACACACACACACACACACACACACACACACACACACACACACACACACACACACACACGCACACACGCGCCCTGACATTTAAATCACACAACGCATGTATCCTAATCGGTCGCCCCGCGATCACTTTACAATGTCTTCCCGACGGGGACGAAGGGGCAGCATGTTGCTCCACGTGCGCAGGCCCAGCATCCCTGCCAGAAACAAGTGCAGGGTGCACGTGGCGGAAAAACTGGACTATGCGCCGACGCCTCGAAATCGTGGCGCACTGCGATTTGACAGGACCAATGGGGGGGGGGCGTCCCGATGATGGTCGATGGCGGCCCCTGCCCATGCTGAGACACGGGTATTGCTTAGGTGTTGGCCGAACCTCTGAAGCCTGAATACTCAACCCCGCGGGTTATTTCAGGGACCCGGACCCCAAATTCACACATCTTCTGCGCCTTGTCGCATAGCCCCTGGGGCGCGTCGCATTTTCTCGCATGGAATTCTCGGTTGCAGGAGGGACCCGACACGGCCAAGACGGCCCCGAGATGCCTCCAAGGCAGTTCAAGAGAGTACCGAATCAACAATTAATCTGTCCAAGTCGCGCAAGATGACGTCCCCAGCGGCAGACGAGAGCCTTCCCAAGAAGGCCCCGACAGTGTAAAACCAGTGATGCCCCGTAGGTGCTTCCACGTTTTGGGAGTGCTCCGCACTTCGAATGTTCGACGCTCCACAGCGTCGCCCCCAAGAGACGGCCCCAGAGGCCCCCAACACGGCCCAAGAGAGCATCAAGACGGCCCACGAGGCGCCCAAGACGGCCGAAGAGTACTCCAAGACAGCCCCAAGAGAGGCCCGAGACGGGGAGCCTGAACCGAAAGTCGGAGCTGCCCGCCCCGCGAGGCCCCATAGGAGGCCCCAAGAGGGCCCCAAGAGGCCCTCAGAGGCCCGAAGGCGCCCTCACGAAGCCCCGACGAGGCTCAAACGCGGTCTCAAAATGGCCCCCCAGAGGTGTCAAAACTGTTTCCAGGAGGCCACCGAAAGGCATCGCCGAGATCCCAACGAGCACCCTGGAAGCGCCAGACCCAAGACCCACAGCCCAGGCCCTCAGGAAACTCCCCAAGAAGCCCCAGGAAGCCTCCAGAGCCCCAGATGGCACGGGTGCATCTGGTCGCCCCAAGAAGCCTCACGGGCGGAATGTGTTCAGCCCCGTGCCGTCGGCAACACATATCCGAACTTCAGTGGATCATGCGCACTGGTTGTTTGCGGCCTGGCATGCGGCGCAACCACGACTACGCGCAGGACATTGCCGATGCCGATGCGGCGTTCTATTCATGCAAGAAGTGCGCGAGCGTGCTGCCGAACATCGGATGGCAAAGACAGAATACTCGGAACCTGCCTGGCAGAGTCGTGGCCGGAGGCATGGCGCCGTCTGCCTGACATGCGAAGCGAAGGAGAAAATTTGGCAGAAGTTGCCGCTCCGAGAAGCCGAAGCTTAATATGTCCGAGCATATGTGCCACCACGGGCGACATCCGGCACCGCGTTCCGTTCCCGTGGCTGCGAAGAAGGCGCCCACACGACCTCTGCAAAAAGGCATTAATACCTCATGCACAGCCTTCTCCGTTTGTGAACATCGACCAACAAAAAACACCGTCCGATGAGGTCCGACGACTCGGCGCTTCTGCTTTGCATGAAGTGGTCAACGCCACGCCGCCAACCGTCATGCAAAACACTACCGTGCCTTCCACAGCTTGAGCACGAACGCGAGGCATGCTGCCAGTCGCTTCAGTCCACGCTTCGCGCGCAGAGCCCGCGGGTAACCCAGCGGCCAGGAGAATCGCCGAGAACGGCGACTCGAGCCCAGCTCGGGCGCGCTCAGGCCAGTTCGGATGCCGATGACTAGCTGAGCCCAAGCAGTTTGGGCCCAGATGGCTACAAATTCCAAGACCAAGTTCAGCGCACTAGATACGAAACTTGCCACGGTGCAGTCGAAGTCTTGCCGCTGCGCGGAAACCACCTTCGCGCTGCCATTCGCACAGATGCCGACTCCCCTTTCATTCCGAAAAGTAAGAACGCCTCGACTGCACTACCCGGAAGCGCAACCCTCGATGACCCCGCACGCGATTCATTGTATTGGTAGCCAAGAATCCAGGTGGATGCCCGGAGCCCTCCGATATGGCCCAAAAGCTGCCAAGAGGACCCCGACGCAACCCGAGAGAACCGCATGACGCCCCAACGACACACCCCTGACGGCCCAGGCAACTGCCACGAGGCACTGGCCGAATATCACGCCAGTCAGACAAAAGGTACGGCTCAGGTGGTACGTTCTTGGAACCACTGAGCTCACGACAAAAACACTCCCCAGGTGCTGCCTGGATGCCTCTTCAGTCATGGGGACGAGATGACTCATCCAAGGAAAAAACCCGAGCAGCATCCGAGAGTCCTCCGACCCACAACCCCGGCGCGGTGGCAGGGTGGGCCGAAGGCCATGACAGACACCACCTCCCCCTCCGGACAGGAGGCAAGCCCGGAACCACGACGACCCCCCCAAAAGCATCCCTGGCAGAAAGCAATGCGAAGCGCACTTTGAGACAAATACGGATCAAGCCGACATGGGGCGAGGGGGGGGCCGGCATGTTGCCTGCTGCGCGCAGGCCCATAACCCCAGTCAAAAAAATATGCCATACCCGTCGTGGCACAATCTAAATCATGTCAGAGGCGGCCCAGATGGGGGCGTCTAAGAGGGGGCGGCGCAAATCATGGCCGGCGGCACGTGCGCGGCCCAGGGGGGGGGGAGGGCGGGGACGAACTGAAATAAGAAGAGGCGCCATGAAACCTGCGGAGATCTCGTGGCCCCCGCCATGACATCGACAACGACGACGACGACGACGACGACGACGACGACGACGACGCCTGCGGACCAGACACCTATGCGGATTCCTACGCGGACACCTACGCGGATCCCAATGCGCACGGCGGCAGTGCCCGGAGCGCACTGGGGGGGGGAGCGTTACGTCATATAGGGGGGGGGGGAGCGGGGACCATGACGCCCGTCATGCCTCAAGCAATAAAGAAACGGGCTCTAGTCATCACCCCCCTCCTGGCAGCCCCGATCGCGTGCGGGCGCCCCGCGACGACTCTGCACCGATCCTTGGCAAGGGCGATGGGGTGCCCCGCCCGGGCTCGCGCGGCGACACGTCGCGGGCGCGAGGGCGGCCTCTGGCCCATGCCGAGGCTCGGCTGCTTACTTCTGTGGCGGGAGGGCGGGTGGGAGTGAGCAGGACGGCCGTCCTTCGGGGGGCGGAGCTCGACCCTCCCCCCCCCCCCACCCACCCACCCACCCACCCACCCATCCACCACCCACCCACCCACCCACCCACCCCACCCACCCTCCCATCCCTCCCTCCCTCCTCCCTCCCTCCTCCTCCCTCCCTCTCCCTCCTCCTCCTCCTCCTCCTCCTCCTCCTCCTCCTCCTCCTCCTCCTCCTCCTCCTCCTCCTCCTCCACACCCCCCCTCCTCCTCCTCCTCGTCCTGCTGCTCCTCCGACTCTTACTGCAACCTCTCGGCGACGCAACAGTGGCGAAATGACCCTGCGATGTACCCAACCCTTTCTGTACATGCGGCGAGTATACTCAGGACCACTCAATGCTGACTGGCATTCTGAAGGACTCGCAGTGCGCAAGAAGAGCACCCAGCAGTGATGTCAGAAGAGCGCAGCAAGAAGAGCAGCGGCGGAAATACAAAACTGACACACAAGGGGCGTGTGTGGTGGTGCGCGTATGACGTACCTCCGCTGGGCCTCCCAGGAGCCCACGAAAGTGCCGACGGTTTCGCAGATCGCAGCCCCCCAGGGCACCGCGAGCTATAGTGGTGGTCCGCGTATGACGTACCTCCGCTGGGCCTCCCAGGAGCCCACGAAAGTGCCGACAGTTTCGCAGATCGCAGACCCGCAGGGCACCGCGAGCTATGGTGGCGGAACACAGGAAACGGGAGAGAAGGAGGAGGGGAGGAGAGGGGAGGAGGAAAGAGGAAGGACGGGGCGACCACACTGCTCTATTCAAAACAAGAACCCAACACAGGAGGGTTGGGAGAAAACGATGCCAGCCAGGCATGCAACGGCCAGCCGCTGCGCGCGCACCGTGGAGCAGATATTGTGGGGCTTCAGCGCCTTCAGGGAGTCGAAGTTGCTGCCTGGAGCCCCATGTCGTTCTCATCCTCCTCCTCCTCCCCCTCCTCCGCCTCCTCCTCATCATCAGCGTCCTCCTCATCGTCCTCCGCTCCCTCGCCTAATCGTCTCACCCCCCCTCATCATGATGATGCTCATCACCGTCAGCATCAACAGCAGAAGCAGCATCATCAGCAGCAGCAGTAGCATCATCAGCATCATCATCCTCAACATCCTCATCATCATCAGCAGCAGTAGCATCTGCATCCTCAGCATCAGCATCAGCATGATCTACAGCATCAGCATGATCAGCATCCACATCATCAGCATCAACAGCGTCATCATCAGCAACATCAGCAGCAGCATCAGCATAATCTTCATCGTCATCATCATCAACAGAATCGGCATCAACAGCATCATCATCATCATCAGCAGCAGCATCATCAGCATCAGCATCATCAGCATAATCAGTATCATCAGCATCAGCATCAGCATCAACATCATCAGCATCGGCAGCATCATCAGCAGTCGCGAAATCAACATACGCATCATCCGCATCATCATCAGCAGAAGCAACAACAGCATCAGCGTCAGCATCAGCACCAGCACCAGCACCATCATGAGCATCATCATCAACATCATCAACAACGGCATCAAAATCATCATCAGCAGCATCATCATCGGCATAATCAGTAGCAGCATCATGAGCATCAGCATCAGCAGCAGCATCCTCAACCTCATCATCAGCAGTCGCGAAATCAGCATACGCATCATCCGCATCATCAGCAGCAGCAGTAATAGCAGCATCAGCATCAGCATCAGCACCAGCACCATCATCAGCATCATCATCATCAACATCATCAGCATCGGCATCAGCATCATCAGCATCATCAACATCGTCGTCGTCGCCATCATCCCCATCATCAGCATCAACAGCAGCAGCGTCTTCACTATCACCAGCATCATCATAGTCATCATCAACATCGTCGTCGTCGGCATCATCAACAGTATCCTCGTCCTCTCGTCGTCGTCGCTATCAGCATCACCACCAGCATCATCAGCAGCAGCATGATCTTCGTCAGCATCAGCCAAATCCTTCTGAGCATCAGCGTCATCATCGTAACCATCATCATCACCATCACCATCGCCATCACGATCAGCATCGACAGCATCATGAGCAGCAGCAGCATCATCGTCGCCATCGGCATCAGAATACCAATCATCATCATCATCATCATCATCATGATCGTCGTCGTCGTCAGCAACATCATCATCTTCTTCGCGTCGTCGTCGCCATCAGCATCATCATCATCATCACTATCACCATCATCATCATCATCATCATCATCATCATCATCATCATCAGCATCATCATCATCATCATTATCATCAGCATCATCATCATCATCAGCAGCATCATCAGTAGCATCATCATAATCAGTATCAGCACCATCAGCATCCTCATCATCACTGTCATACGTATCATCATCAGCAGCTGTATCGCCATCGTCGTCGTCAGCAGCATCAGTCTTAGCAGCAGCATCAACACCAACAGCATCACCATCGTGTCCTATACCATGGCCATAACCATCCCCATCACGATCAGCATCACAATAATAAACATAAAAATGAAAATACTCAAAATAAGCATCCTCATCATGGTCGTCGTCGTAGTCGTCGTCGTCAGCAGCAGCAGCGGCATCTTTGTCAGAATCATCATCAGCAGCATCAACAGCAGAAGCAGTACCATCACCATCATCATCACCAGCACCATCACCATCACCATCACCAACAGCATCAGCAGCATCACTACCATCACCATCTCCATCATCATCACCATCACCACCACCCGCAACAGCGTCATCAGCATCATCATCAGCAGCATCAGCATCATAATCACAAGCACCATCATTCGTCATCAGCATCATCATCATCATCAGCATCAGCATCATCATCATCGTCATCATCATATTAGTATTCGCCGTCCTCCTCGTCCTTGCCCTCGTCGTCCTCCTCGTCATTGCCTTCCTGTCCTCCTCATCCTCCTCCTCGTCCTCTCGTCGTCGTCCATATCCTCCTCCTCCTCCTCCTCCTCCTCCTCCTCCACCTCCTCCTCCTCCTCCCTCCTCCTCCTCCTCCTCCTCATCCTCCTCCTCCTCCCCCTCCCCTCCCGCATCCTCAATTCTCCATGCTTGCCCGCTTTGGTTCACTAGATGTGTCTGTTCCTCCCAATTCCCGTCAGCTCTCATGGGCAGCGTTTCTGAATGGGCTGGTGGAGATATGCGAAGCAGCAAGACTTTGCAGTTTGAAGATTAATGAGTCTCAGTACCAGTGGGTCTGAATATGAGCGGCGGGGTGTGGGTAAGTCTGATTGTGGCTGAGTTTCAAATGAATGAATATGAGTATGAATGCTCTGAATGTGAGCGGTCCGTGTGTGTCTGAATATGGCTCAGCTCGGTGTGTGGTGCGGCAGAGTGTGCATGAGTGTGAGTGCAGGTGCGTGTGAGAGTTCAGTGAAAGCTCGCCAGAGTGAGTCAGAGTGTGGACGCGTCTGAGTATGAGTGGGTAAACCTATGAGTCTGAGCGGGTGGTGAGTCTGAGATGCGTATGATTATGACTGAGCCGGGTAAGTGGTCTGAGTGCGATTGGGTCTGAGTGATAGTGAGTCTGAATATGAGTGGGTCTGAGTGTGATTTCGAATGTTCGTGGTCCTGGGCAGGGAGGAGGCGGGAGGTGAGTGAAGCGGACAGGTCCTACCCATAAGAACAAAACCCCACGCTTAGGACATGGAGAGAGCCAGCACCGCGGAGAGGGTCTGGAGGTGCAAGGGCTGGCGGCTCACACACAAAAAACTGGACGTCGGAGGTCTGGAGAGGAGAAACTGGCCATCGCTCGGACGTCCATTCCCTGTGTTTGTTTCGTTTTCGTGCGTGTTTTTTCGCCAAATGATCAAGGATGCTCCTCGATGGTCCTCGCCGAAGGAAAAATGCACACGTCCGAGCGATGTCAAGGAGAAGGAGAGGACCCCCCGTGCCGTAGCGGAGAAACTTGAGGGTGATGGACCCGAAGGGGCCGAACAGCAGCATCTCCTTGCCGCCGATGGTGCGGTAGTCCAGGTGCGGCATGGACATCGGGGGCGCGCCTGTGCAGAGACTGGTCTTTGATTTCAAAAACTGGTGTTTGAACTCAAAGACCCAACGCCCAATCGCCGATCGCCCGCCGCTGTGAGAGCGGCGTCGCCCTGACAGGCGGCGGGCGTCACGAGGCGGAAGGGGGAGAAGTGAAAAACGGCGAGGAGGCGGGGAAGCAAGGAACAAGATGGGTAGGCAAAGAGGTTGTGGGGAGGAGACGAAGAAGCCCCAGCGCAGTGGACTCGACTGCGCGGCACTCGGTCCCCCGCTCCGTCGACGGAGGGAGGGGCGTCCTCCGGCTCTCCGTGCCCCCAGTCCTCCTCGTCCTGCTCCCTCTCCCCCCTCCACCTCCTGCTTCCTGATCTACCCTCCTCGCTCCTCCTCCGAGGTCCTCCTCCTCCTCCTCCTCCACCCTCTCCTCCCTCCTCCGCCTCCTCTTCTCCTCCTCCTCCTCCACCTCCTCTTCCTCCTCCTCCTCCTCCTCCTCCGCCTTCCCTCCTCCGCCTCCTCCTCTTTCCTCCTCGTCCTCACCCTCCTCCTCCTCCCCCTCCCCCTCCTCCTCCTCCCCCTCCTCCTCCTCCTCCTCCTCCTCCTCCTCCTCCTCCTCCTCCTCCTCCTCCTCCTCCTCCTCCTCCTCCACGGCGAGAGGCGAGGAGGTCGGCCTGCTGCCGTGCTGCCCCTGCCCCACCCCCAGAACCCCTCGGAACCACGGGCCCTGCAACAGAGGCGGGGAAAACCGGGCACATGCACTCGCGGCCTCCATCCGCTCAGCAGCCCCCTCCGACGACCGCTCCACGCTGCCCCGCCCCGTCGCCCCGCCGCCCCGACAACCAAGTCTGACTACCTACCAGACCACCCCAACCCAACCCGAAGACCCGAATTTCGGGTTTGGGGGGGTAAGGGTTCCACATGTGATTTTTCGATGCTTCCCGACCCCCCCCCACTGGAAATCGAGGGTAAATTTGAGCCTTCGGGTTGGGTTGGGGTGGTTTGGTGGGTGGTGAAAGTCGGAGGCCAACCAGGCCTGGCGCGCCCGGCGCGTACACCTTCGTCTTGTGCTTGGCCACGACGTCTGGGTTCTGACACACGGCCCAGTCGCCGGTGACCTGGAGGGGGCGGGCGGCACTGGGGTTGCCAGGGCCGGCCGACGAGAGGGAGAGGAGGAGCAGGAGGAGGAGGAGGAGGAGGAGGAGGAGGAGGAGGAGGAGAACGAGGAGGAGGAGGAGGAGGAGGAGGACCAGTGTAAACCCAAGAGTCACCAACGACGTTGGAATAAGCCCTTCCCCCAAGCCCCCTCTTCACAGGCCCCTACAACGGTTCATTTCCACAAGGGGACCTGCCTCGTTGGAAGACAACCGTTTGAAGACCAGCATGCCAAAACATTAATATCGATATCCCAACGCCACGGATTAACTTGACTGTTGCGTCTTGGCGACACTGAATCGTGCCAGAACGCCATTTCTGGGACTTCAACACCGCGAATCATCGTAACTGGTGCGCCCTCGCATTCGTGATTCCAAGACACAACTTCTGGTACGTTGATCATGGGTATTTGTGAAACTCTTGTAACTGTTTACAAGAATGTGCGCGGCGCTAAAGCGAGAACCACATTTTGAAAAGGAATCGACCTCAACCCGTGAAACTGTTGCAAATGTTTAACCAGAATGCGCGCGGCGCTAAGGCGAGAGCCACACTTTGAAAACGACCCGCCCTCAATCCTAAAATGTTTGTACAGTTTGGAAACGAATGTGCGCAGCGCCAAAGCGAGAGCCAAACTTTGAAAAGGAACCGACCTCGATCCGTGAAAATAATGCAAATATTTAATAATAACACCTGAGAAAACCCAATCAGTTGATGATTTGAAAATTAGTCATATGGATATTGAGATCGATTGTGAGATCGATAATGAAATCGATAATGGAATCGATAGAGGACGACTGTAAGGTCGATCGCGAGACCGCGAGTGAAATCGGTTCAATGAGATCGAGAGGGAGATCGATCGCGAGATCGCTCGTGCGATCTCTAGTGAGATCGCTTGCGAGATCGATTGTGAGATCGATTGTGAGATCGATGGTGAGATCGATAGAGAAGTGGGAAATGAGATCGATGCTGAGACCGATCGATGAAAAGATCGACCAGGAACCCGGGAACCTGGGAACCTCGCCGCCCGTGAACCCGGGAACCCGGAACCAGGAACCCGGGAACCCAGCGTGCGACCAAAATCGGCGGAAAACTTTCGCCAAATCCTTCAACCTCCTTCAGGACCCCTTCAGTGCAAGCATTGATTGGGGAAAATTGTGCGCGGCGCTACAGCGAGAACCACACTTTGAAAACGACCCGCCCTCAATCCGTGAATTTTGCTCAGTTTGAAAACGAATGTGCGCGGCACCAGAGCGAGAACCACACTTTGAAAACCACCCGCCCTCAATCCGTGAAACCCTTGCGAATTTTGAAAAGAATGTGCGCGGCGCTAATGCGAGAGCCACATGTTGAAAACCACCCGCCCTCCATATGTGAAACTGTTGCCAACGTGTAAGCTTCAGGGTCAAAAACGGTGACGAAGTCTCAGGCGAAATGCCTGGCCCGCCCTAAAAACTGGCCTGGGGGTGCGACAGGGAGAAGTTACTTCTAAGGAGAAGGAATGGAGGAGAAGTGAGGTGCAGAAGCTGAAGGAAGAGGAGGAGAAGGAAAAAAGGCGAGAAAGCGAAGGCGAGGGAGAAGGAAAAGGAGAAGAGAGAAGGAGTGGAGGAGGAGGAGGAGGAGGAGGAGGAGGAGGAGAAGGAGGAGGAAAGGGAGGAAAGAGGGGAGGGGAGGAGGAGGAGGAGAGCGAAACATACGGGTGAGGACCAGCAGCAGGTGAGGGAAGAAAGAAAATGAGGAGAAATAGGAAAAGGATACTGAGAAGGATGAGGACCAGCCTCCGAGCCGAGGCCTTGGAAGGACTGGGACAGCTTGGAGGGCCCCAAGGGGGTAAACGGGGTATGAATCCACCTCCTGCTCCTCCTCCTCCTCCACCTCCTCCTCCTCCTCCTCCTCCTCCTCCTCCTCCTCGGCTCCTTCTCCTCCTCCTGCTCCTCCTCCTCCTGCTCCTCCTCCTCTGCCATACACCTTCCTTTAAAACCCTCCCCGTCGCGCCACCAGACGTGCAACTAGGGCTGGACAGGCGCTTCGCTTGGTACGCCCTTGCAACTTATTACCCCGAAGTTCGAAAATTCCCATATACACACAGACGAGGGGCGGCCTATGTGTTTTAATGCGACTCTCGTCTTCGCGCCGCGCGCCGTCGCAAGAGCTGGCAACAGCTCCACGGATTGAGCCGAAGCGGTTTCCAATGTAAGGCTTTCGCACTGGCTCATCCACCAAAATGTATATCAACCCGTGTTCAAAAAGATACTCTTGCAGCGACCCGCACAATCGACTTTAAGCCTCCAACCTGTACACACATACAACATAGATGGAGGGCGGCTCCTCTTCAGAGCGGGGCTCCCGCGTGAGACGCCCCTCGGTGCTGCGGCAGGACGCGCGCAGGCAGCACGCAGCAGCCACGCAGACAGAGGGCCAGTCCTTCTCTGAATGGGGCCCTCGCCGGCGGCCGCTCTCGTACCGCATAAGCGTGCACACGCTGCACACGTACGAAGCAGCGGGGCGAACGAAAGGCAGGCACGTCTCACAGCGAAGCTCTCGCTGCACAGGTCCTGGAACGTCATGGCCACGTGCCTTTGCTGCTCCTCCTGCCGCGTGCAAAGATGGAGGGCGGCGCATCTTCACACCGCCGCGCCCGCCGGGATGGCAAGCCCCCACAGGGCGCTCGTCAGTCGAGGGGTGACACCCCTAGTGAAAACAATGTGTGTAGGTAGACGTGTATATATATATATATATATACATATATAGATGTATCGCTCGTAATCTGTGCGCACCACATCCACGACCACAGCAGCGGCGGCGGTGCAACTAGAGATGGCCGCTCCTAGAGTGTCAAGCTCATGAGGGCGTGAGCAAACAATGTGTATATATATATATATGTGGCAAGGGTGTCACCCTCTGCCGTCGCCCCCACGCCCCACCCACGGATTGCTTACACGGGCTTGTGCGGTGGGTTGGCAGATGTTCTTGTCGGTTGGCAGGCTGGCAGTTCGGCGGATTTGCTTGTTGCCCAGGCGTGATCACTGGCTACTGGTTTGAACCGTTTGGTGGCTGGCCGGTGGCGCGCGTCCGACAAAGTCCACAATCAAGCAGGGATGGTCGCCCTGGGAGCGCGCTCCCACTGCAGTTCACAGAAGGCTCGAGGCTTCGGGAGCGCGCACCCCTGGCTGGTGACGAAGGTTCGTGGCCTCGAGCCCCGAGCCGAGTGGTCAGGAAACGACTGCGTCAGGGGGGGGGGGGGGGCGGGGCGGGGGCGAAAAGCACCCCCCGGACACGGAACCCAGCGCAGGGCATGACAAGCGGTCTGCTCTCTGGAGGAGGCGTGGCGAGGTCTGGGGCCCGGGAGGGGCTGCAGCGGCCCCCGCGGGGTGGGTTCGTGGCCTCGGGAGCGCCAGTGTACAAGCAGTGCGCCAGGGGACTGCGGTTTCGGCGACGCCAACTGGTCGTGCTGTACAGGGGAGCGTGGCCCCGGAAGCACCCGCCTGGCGAACTTACGAAGGAGCGCGTGCCTGTGGATATCTGGAGTGGGCTGTGGCCTCGAACGGCGCGCACCCTGTGCAGTGCAGAAAGGTCTGTGGCTCAGGGGGAGCGCGAGCCTGGCGTGACGTACAGTGGACTGCGTCCTCGCGGCGTCTCCAATTACAAAGAGTGGCTTCAGGGACGAAGGCTGTCGTCTTGCACTAAGGGTTGCGGCCTCGGGGGCGCGAATCTGGCGCGAATTACAACTGCTTCTGGCCTGGGGAGCGCGACTCTGGCGTAAAGTACAAGGGAGTATAGCATCGGGAGCGCGAACCTGATGTAATTCTTCAAGGGCTGTGGCTTGGGAAACGCAAGTCTGGTGTAATGCGTAAGGGGCTATGACCTCGGAAGCGTGAATCGAATGTAACGTACCAAATATTGTAGTTTGAAAATGGGTGTGGCTTCGAGAGCACGATTCTTGCGTTAATTACAATTACAAAATGTATGATGGCTTGGAGAGCGCAAACCTGGCGTAATGTACAAGGAATCGTGGCCTCGAGAGCGCGAACCTCATGTGACTTACTAAGGGTTGTGGCCTCGGGGGCGCGAATCTGGTATAGGATTGTGGCTTGGGGAGCGCGAGGCTGACGTGATTCAGAAGGGAGTGTGGCCTCGAGAGCGCCAACTCGCAGCAACTTACGAAGGGTTGTGGCCTCGGAGGCGCGAATTTGCCTGATGTTTGCATGTCCCAAGGCCCCCAGATATTCAGATTACATGATTCTGGCGTGGTTCGCAAATGCTTTTCGGCTCCCCCACTCGCGCGGACTTCAATCACTACATCAATGGAGCTCGACAAAAAAGAAAATCTATGACCATGGCTTGGAAACCAAAACTGACGCAGGGCACAAGACAGCCTCCGCCACACAACCTGTTTGGCCCCCGAGGGGGCCGGCGGACTAACCGCAGTAGCTTCAGCGTGTCGCGGAGGCAGCCCTGGCGATACGCTACGCCCTGCAAGCTGACAGCGTGCCGCTCCGCTCCGCGGGGTCGAAGGCAGGGAAAGGCTGGGAACGGTGACGCGCAGAAGCGTGGTGGGCCAGACAGAACCAGCGGCGCCACAAGCTAAGCGAACGCTCCCGACCGTATGAAGATGGGACGTGGGCTCCGGAGACAGAACTGCAGCATCGTTGAGCCATCCTGAGTCTACCCTGATCGTCATCATCCTCACCCCTCTCGCCCTCGCCCCTATGCGCACCATCAGCATAATCAGAACCATCATCATCATCATCATCATCATCATCATCATCATCATCATCATCATCATCATCATCATCATCATCATCATCATCATCGTCATCATCATCATCATCATCATCATCATCATCATCATCATCACCATCACCAGCAGCATCATCATCATCATCATCATCATCATCATCAGCAGCATCAGGATCGTAATCATCATCATCGTCATCATCATCATCATCATCATCATCATCATCATCATCATCATCATCACCATCATCATCATCATCATCATCATCATCATCATCATCATCATCATTGTCATCATCATCAGGATCGTAATCATCAGCAGCAGCATCATCATCAGCATCGTCATCATCATCATCATCATCATCACCACCACCACCATCATCATAAAAATCATCACCATCACCATCATCATCATCATCATCATCATCATCATCATCATCATCACCATCATCATCATCATCATCATCATCATCATCATCATCATCATCATCAAATTCATCATCATCATCATCATCATCATCATCATCATCATGACCATCCCCATCCTCATCCTCATCATCAACCTCCTTCTGATACTCGCTCCACTCATCCTTCCTCCTCCTTTTCATCCTCACCCTCCGCCTCACTTCTCCTCCTCCTCCTTCTCCTCCTCCGCCTCCTCCTCGTCAGCATCATCATCACCACCACCACAACCATCATCAGCATCATCATCAGCATCATCAGCAGCATACTGATCAGCATCAGCATCGTCATCATCATTGGTATCGTCATCGTCATCATCATCATCATCATCATCATCATCATCATCATCATCATCATCATCATCATCATTATCATCACAACCGTCATCGTCATCATCATCACCACCATCATCATCATCAGCATCATCATCATTTCCATCATTATGTTCATCATCATCATCATCATCATCATCATCAGCATGATCATCGTCGCAATCGTCATCATCATCGCCAACGCCACAACCACCACCACCAGCACCACCACCATCATCATCATCATCATCATCATCATCGTCATCATCATTGTCATCGTCATCGTCATCCTCATTATCATCAGCATCGTCATCATCATCATCATCATCATCATCATCATCAGCATCATCATCATCATCATCATCATCATCGTCGTCATCGTCATCGCCATCATCATCGTCGTCATCGTCATTATTATCATCATCACTATCATCATCGTCATCATCATCATCGTCGGCATCATCATCATCAGGATCAGCATCATTATCATGATCATCAGCAGCATCATCACCATCATCAGCATCATCATCATCAGCATCATCACCACAATCATCATCAGCAGCATCATCATCATCACCATCATCATCATCATCACCATCATCAGCATCATTAGTAGCATCATCATCATCATCATCATCGTCATCATCATCATCATCATCATCATCATCATCATCATCAACATCCCGCGCCCTCTTCCTCCACCTCCTCGGCAGGGAAGGCGCAGTCTGACCGGCAGCGCCATGTAGCCGTTGACCTGAGGTCCCGATGGCGGGGGGGGATCTGGGCATTGCGCGGGCGCCACTGGCAGCAGTCTGCTGGGCGACGCTCCTCCTCCTCTTCCTCCTCCTCGTCCTCCGCCTACTCTTCCTCCTCCTTCTCCTCCTCCTGCTCCTCCACCTCCTCCTCCTCCACCTCCTCCGCCTCAACCTCCTCTTCCTCCTACTCCTCCTCCTCCTTCTTCTTCCTCCTCATCCTTCTCCTACTCCCCAACTGGAGAACGGGGAGGAGGGAGAATAGACGACGTGGATAAGCAGCAGCAGCACGAGGAGGAGAAGAAGGAGGAGACAATAAGAATAAGGAGGAGAAGACGGAGAAGGAGAAGCGCACAGCCAGAGAAGGACTCCCGAACCGAAGAGCGTACAGCCCTCCACGTGGCCACGAAGTGCTGGCTAAAATCCACTGGCCACACGGGAAAATAACGAGATGCTACCAACCAGCATCGCTTCGATGGCGGAGGTAATGGGTAGTGGCGCTGGACGGCAGCAATCGCCGACGCCGCCGCCTGGGGTCGTTGTTCATCTGGTGAAGAATGCATACTTACTCGCTGTAGCTCAAACGATGCCCTGGAGCAGCAAATAGGGCGAATGTGGCACGTGACGAAAGGTATGGTCGCATCCACGCAAGCACCATCTGCAGCCACGCACGCAACACGCCGGCCACTCTAAATGCTGTTGTGGCGGCTGTCCGCCTCGTCGTCGCGGGCGGCCCCCACATTCAGATATGTGGGTGGGCGAGGCTCCTCATCCTCCTTCTTATCCTCCCCCGAGCCGCCGCATTTGTTTCCGCCTCCTATTCGTCACTCCTCCTTCTCCTTTTCCTCCTCCTCCTCCTCCTCCACCTCCTCCTTCCCTTCCTCTTCCCTTCCTCCTCCTGCTCCTCCTGCCTCCTGCTCCTCCTCCTCCTCCTCGTCCTCCTCCTCTTCCTCCTCCTCCTCCTACTACTACTACTACTACAACTACTAAAACTGCTGCTACTACTACTACTACTACTACTACTACTACTACTACTACTACCACTAGTACTACTTCTACTTATACTACTACTACTACTACTACTACTACTACTAC